TTTGTATGTTAGTTCTCGCGCCATATCCCAAAGGGACGCATGCGCTTAAATGATTACAATCAATCAATCAATCAATTTGGGATACCAACAAGAAATGGCACCAACCCGAAAAACGCCCGCCCGAACGACCGCGGACCCCCCCGACTTGGGAGCCTACTCGACTGCATCGGCCCATATGGAGTACCCTCCATTGCCCTCGCCCGGAAGAAGGCCGCTGAAGGAACGAGACTCCGGTCCAGCGCACGCTTTGGGGACAGTACGACCGCCGCGCACCAGAACGCGTTGACCACCGACAGCACCCAACCTCCGATAAGCAACCCTTTGCCAGCGGAGCAGAGTGATCAGGATGCGAAGAAGGATGAAAGGGCTCTCAAGAGACCCCACTCTGCAGGAGACCTGGTGGAGAACTGCTCCACCGCAGAACTTCAGAAACTGGTGGAGAAGGCGGTTCAGAGGGCCACAATCCCCCTGAAAGCCGAAATCGAAGCCCTCAAAGCGCTCTCAGCGAAGAACCCCACCAACGCTCTTGCCTCCGCCGAGTCGAAGGAGCTGGTTATAGAAGCAACCCAAAAGGCCACAGCTCCCCTGAAAGATGAGATTGTTGGCCTAAAGACAAAGATCGACAGCCTGGAAGTCGCCCTTCAGGCCCTCCTACAAAAAGCCAACACGGAGACCCCCCGCACCAGCACTCCCGGAGCAACAAAGCCTTCCAACGTCCAAGAACCGGGAGGAAATAGCCCTCCCACTGTATCGACCCCGCCCATGCCGCAGAAGCCAACCTGGGCACAAATGATCGGTTCAGGACCCCCCGCAGTGAGTAACGATGAGGGGGAATGGACACGAGCAAAACCCCGGAAACAAAAAACGAGGAAGAATGAGGGAGGAATTGACATCTCGCCCAAAGCTAAAACAAACTACGCTGACAGAAAAATTATCCTTGTGAGGGAAAAAGAAAGCGGACCCTGTCCTCTTCCTGACGTCGCAATCGCAATGAATGCAGTCCTTAGCAAGGCAAAAGCTCCGGCCCATATTAGGGTACAAAAGGTGGAAGCAAATGGAAAAGGCACTGTTTCAGCGAGTATGGGGCCAAAGGCAACAGGAGCCATGGCTCTCCATTACAGAGATGTGCTCATAAGAGCCGTCAAAGAAGTTGATAGTACCGTCGAACAGCTTAAGGCTAATGAGTCCTGGCACAAGCTGAAACTACACGCTGTGTGCTTGGAACGGTACTATCACGCTGAGAAGGAGGGAGACATTCTGCCAGCAGGTTTAACCAAAATGAAAGAAGACATACTGAACGCGAACCCTGAGCTGGATATGCCCTTGCCACCAAGATGGCTTCTCCACCCGGAGAAACTGAGTGAGAAGGCCAAAAAGAATGCCTGCTCCACCGTGATAATCACGCTGAGATCCGAACAGGACGCGGAGAGAGTCCGGAAAGAGGGAATATGGTTCTACGGGAAACAGCACCCAGCGGATAAGTACGTCCCAGCGGGTCCCGACGCCTTCTGCGAAAACTGCAGTGGTTGGGGACATGCGAAGCACCGCTGTGAAAAAGCCGGCGAACCAACATGCCTGCTATGCGGAGGAGGCCACCGGTCTACAGACCATCAATGCCCGGAGAAAGACTGCAAGGCAGGCCGAGGAAGAGGCTGTAGACACATGACGAAGAAATGCTGCAACTGCGGAGGAACTCACTCAGCCAAGTCTGACGAATGTCCTAAGAAAAGGGAAGCACTGAAGATGGCACGTGAACGCAGAATACTTCGCATACGCGAAGCCCCTCAGGAGCCATTAACGGCAGTAGAAAATCCTAACGATATGGAAATTGAAGCCGTTGAAAAACGACTATGAAAGTGATACAACACAACTGCCGAAAGAACGGAGAGGTGACCCAAGGGGCCCTCCAGGCGGCGATAGAGGTGAAAGCAGACATTGTACTCCTCCAAGAGCAAGGGTATCAAAGAAGGAAAAATTCAGCCACAATTAATCACGCAGCTTTTATGATTTACGAACCAACAAAGGGGAGCCGAAACAACAGGGTAGCAACAGCAGTACGGAAGGGGAGCAATCTAACAGTTGAACACCGCATTGATATTGCCGACACGCCGGACATAATGGTCTTGGATGTCCACAAGAGAGTCAATGGCAGAAAAGGAAAACATACACGGCTGGTGAACGTATACGATAATTGGTTGAGCGATGGAGCACGGCCACAACTCAGGAGACGCGCAGCTTCGACAGAGGATGGGGAGCAAGAACTGGCTGAAGATAACGAACCCCACGGCAACATCAAGTGGAGGAGCATCGACGAGGTAGTTTGGAATACAATAGTCACAAAGCGTACAGTAATAGCAGGAGACTTTAACGCCCACAGTCCATTGTGGAATCAGCACTGCGGGTCCAGAAAGAACGCTCATAAACTGGAAAGCCTGATTGAGGAACACAGTCTCCTCATTGCCAATGACGACGCGGTGGCCACATACATCCGACCTGACGTACGCTCCATCTCTATCATTGACCTGACCCTTCATACAACAGATACATTCGTCACTGGATGGGCGGTGGACCATGTACACTCGACGAGCTCAGACCATGAGCTGTTGACCTGGAAGATAGAAGAAGACCAGAGTACAAGACACCCAATGGCAACCCCAACTGTATGGTCAATTGCAAAACTTCTGGAAGACGATACAGCAAGAGCGAGCGCCACGGATATGTGGAAACAACTTCTCAGCAACCGACCTCAGCTTGACGAATGGGGAGAACTCAGAAGATCAGTTGGATACGCGGAAATAGAAGAGGAAGCACAATGGATTGAGGATACCACCACAGCTGTACTAAATTCGCACGCCCGGAAGCTCCGCATCACGGCCAGATCCAAACGGTGGTGGAATCAGGACGTAGCCGAAGCCCGACAAAGGCTTTCCCGAGCCAAGAGGGACCTCCGTCATGCCAAAAAGGTGGTCCCGCAAGGAATAAATATCGACGCAGCAATACAATCAACAAAGGAAGCCCAGCGATCTCTCCATCGCCAAATCAGGCGGGCAAAACGAGACACATGGCACAAGTTCCTTCAAGGTGCAACAGACAAAGAGATATGGCTGGCAACAAGATATACTAAAGACACACTACCCTCCACCACATCTATACTCCACGACACCCAAGGCAACACAGCCGTCACACTTGAAGAGAAGGACAAGCTGCTACGAGCAGCAGCCTTCCCGCCACCCCCGCCTGACGAGGAACGACTTACCTTACCAGATGGCGGAGCGACACACGAGAGGATCAGTAAGGAGCTGATTCAAGAAGCTTTGTTTGCCCAAAGCGCCGGGAAAGCCCCCGGGCCAGACAGGATCACGTTCCAAACATTGCGTCTAATTTGGGAATGGGACTCTGAGAGAATAACAGCCCTCATCAGGGCATGTTTCAAGCTCGGATACCATCCCAAGGTCTGGAAACGCGCAAGAGGGATAGTTCTTCGGAAACCAGGAAAACCGGATTATTCCGCCGTAAAGGCGTACCGCGTAATCTCCCTCCTAAACTGTCTAGGAAAGTTAGCCGAATCCATAGCTGCCCGACTTCTATCGGAGTACTGTGAAGCACATGAAAGCCTGCACAACCACCAAATGGGCAGCCGGAAACAGCGATCGGCCATAGACGCCGTAGCCATCACAATGAATAGGATACAACACGCCTGGAAGGCAAAGGAGGTCGCCGCGCTACTGCTTATGGATGTCAAAGGAGCCTTCGACCATGTGGCAAAAACCCGACTACTATCTCGGATGCTACAGATGGGAATAGACCCACAGCTGGTTAGATGGTCTTCAAGCTTTCTCGAAGACCGTAGGGTAAGAATGGTCATCGATGGCCATGATATGGAAGACTATCCAGTTCGGACAGGCGTCCCGCAAGGCTCACCAGTCTCCCCCATTCTATTAGCAATCTACCTG